TCTTTTACCTATGGTCGCTTGACAGTATGCTCTCCCCTCTTTCCTGCTACAGCTGTGAGGCTCTACTTTCGCGTGTTACGTTAATATGTACCTGTGGAGTCTATCTAGTATTATGCACCGCCCACTAGATTACTTTACCCCAACTTATGTGATGGGGAAAGTAGAATCGTCTTTTTGGCGACGATATGTCAATGTGCTACGAACTGAGTTGTATGAGTTTCTAAGCATAGAAAGCAGTTTCCTCAACCTAATAACTGCCTTGGTAAACATGTTTATTGACAGCGCATAATTTGTTAGGAAAACCTCAGAAAAGTTTTATGCTATCTCCTGATCATTTGCAATGTCGTAAAGATTATTTCGACGTCTTCAGAAGGGATGCGATGCAACCCAGCTGTTTATCATCAAGTGCGACCTCACGGATTTCAGCAGTATTCGTGCTTGCGCCAAAGAAATGTTGGCACGTGGGTTTCGACGTTCCGAGTTGTCTTGCACGATCTTGCGTAAGCTCGCATACGTACCAATTTTAATGTTTTAGATGAGGAAAGAATCGACATTCTCATCAACAATGCCGGAGTTATGTTTCTTCCGAAATATGAGAGAACCGTTGATGGTCATGAAAAGATCTGGCAGTCTAATTTTTTGGGTAAGAATAATTCACTTTTTAAACTCTCTTTTTAATCTTTCCTATGTTAATTTTACTTTCATCCCCTACACCTAATGTCTAAGAGAAAACTTCTAATGCGAAATTGGAAAGACTGATTTTGAAAATGAGTCGCCAAAATTAGCAGTCTAACCAATATTGCATTCTCTGCTGAAATGATCTCTTTGTATTAGAATAAGTCCGAAGAAAGATTGTAAGCAAAATGTTTGTCTTGGCTTTTACCTTATATCCATTATCTGCAGTTTTCATTTAATTTTTTTCAATGTGTTTCACAGAGATAGGATATGCAGTAACTGGCCCTTCGACCATTTATCTAAGCTTAGGTAAACTGGACTGTAAACCTGCTTTTTTTAAAAGTGACCTTTTTCTTTAGTTTAGGACTAAAAGTTGACACCCTGTTAAGAACAGGGAGTATGCCAAAGGCGGCATAGCTTAGTAAGTTGTAGAAGTTTTACGGTGCGCCTATATCTGTTATGCGACTGATACTTTTCTAAAATCTCAGAATGGCCATTCAAAAGCTATTCTTGCAGGGGTTATAATAATCGTAAACCATACCACGCC